ACTATTAGATTACATATGCCGTATACTGGGCGTGTATTAATACTCATCTGGATAGTGCTTAATTACTACTAGGTCCTTAGTCATTACTATAATAATCGTAGTACAACAAGTGATCACTGTAATTGTACAAGCACAATAAATGATCACTGCAACTGTAAAAACACTTTTAACACTGTATAGCTGTCCTGGTTTTGGCTGGGATAGAGAAAATTAACTCTATCCCAGCCGAAACCAGGACAATAGCTGTAACCTCACCAGGCAATTGCATAATTCTAGTTATATTCTTTTTTCTTTTCTGGTTTCAATTGGTGCAAAAAGAACATCAACAATTCCAAAGTAATACTTCAATGTTGTCTTGTACCACAAAGCTTAGTTCTGGGTGACTATAAATAGATGAGAAGGAACAGAAAATGTAGCTCTGTAGCAGTTGATTCTGCTGACCATCCTGCTTTTCCGTCATCAACAGCACATATAGTACTGACGTGAATAAAAACCACATTTCATCACCTTTATTTAGCTAGTTCAAATGATCACATTTATGGCTAGGTTGACTATGGCTGTCTAAAGTAAAGACAGACTCCCCCGTATCAGAGCAAATCACTATGCTTACCTGCTCTGCATCGTGTCCATGTGGTCTAACATAAGTTAATAATGAGCAAATAGCACTAACAGAATCTTCTCAAATTTAACGCTCATTAAGAACTTTCCCAGACACAGAGTTTCCATTGGCTAATATATTTATTAACTAATCTGAAAGCACAGAAGTACTGCAGGAAATAATATTTTATCCAAGTAGGATTTATTTTCTGTCAAATGCCAGATAATAGGTTCCACGTACAGACAAAGATTTGATTACAGAGCAGTACCTAAGCATGGTTTTGACCAGCAGATTGGAAGATAAAATCATGGGTAGCTGCCAAAATTCATATACGGTAAGGATAAGAAATGCTGAACTCACAAAAGAGATATACAATTGTATATATTTAACACTGACACTCTTCATTTTCCTGGAGTACTCAAGTAGCCACAAATCCTGTAAAAGTGCTGAGCAAGAAAGGGGGTAGACCAAAAGATTCAACACAATGTCAATACCAATACAGGCCAAGAGTGGTATGAAGACAGCCTGGTGGAGACATAACACGGCAGAGAGGACGCCGGATCAGAGCCATTATTTCTATTCAGGATCTACCCAGGTGGTTCACTAACAATATTTTGCTGGTGGAACATACACGGCTCGTCAGTCAGCATTTTAAACTCTGCACATAAGTAACTTGTATACAAATATGTACCAGAAAAAAATCTGCTAGAATATTTATAGCTTTCATTCCTCACCTATGCTTTTAAAATTCCTATACCATAAGCTTGGAAGAAAGTAGGTTAGTCACCATTAGTACCGAAAAAATGATACTTCTGCACTTCTAATATAAATATTTTCATGTATTTAAAAAAAAAGGACAAAATATCATTTATCAAAGATTGCAATTGTATTAGTCCTTCAAAAGTAAGTCTGTTCAACTGTATCTTCTTTATTGCAATTGGCCACTTGGATTACAGTCTGTAAGAGTTAATAAGGTAGCAACTTTTGTTGAGCCAGTTCAGACTGGTGATGATACCAGTGAATTAAACTGTAAAAAGATGGCATCTTTTCTCACGTAATCAGGACTTCTCCATGTGCCAGTTCAAGCTAGATGAGCCACTTAGGAGCAATCCTAGCCCACTGCAGTCAGAAGCAGGTTTGTTATTGGCACAACAGGGGTGACAATATTGCCCACTTGTCAGACAAGAAATATAAGAACACATTTGCCTTTTACATTATAACAGTCAGATCTTGCAGCCTGGACACTGCTGAGAGTTTTAGCATGCAAGGACAACTGCGTTTTATTTACTTATTAATTCATTCACTATAGACTTTTCAATGGCACACACACTTCTCTGAGCACATTAACTACGTCTGTAAACTACTGAAGACTGGGATCATGTGGATTCTTCTGGAAATTACATTTTGCTTAAGAAGGGCCTCATCAAAAGAGAAACCAATCGAGACAGACAGACATTCACCACGCTCCGAGTGAGGTAATCCGGCTTCTTACGAGATGATAAAGCTGCTACAGAGCTAGGCAGCCTCCATAAATAGATGGGAGACTGCATACGGGAATAAAGACTTGCTGTGCAGACCTCACGTTCATGACCCCAGCTGACTGATCCCCAGTCTACAGAAGTTATGTTACATGGTGATTATACGTCCTCAGAGGAAAGCTCAATATTTGAAAAGAAAGCGGTTTAGCAAACCTCCCCTCTCCTTCTCCCAGGTATTTATAACAATACAGCCCAAACTTGTACGTAACGCAACTTAATGGCATCTGCTCAAAACAAGAGAAAATCCAATACAGAAACAAATAATCGTGCAAATCAACAAATGGAAAGTCTACGAACACAAAAGCTGTTTGAAGTACCTTGGTGGCTTTGAGGTGACAGATGATAGAGCAGGAAGCTTTCACTGGAGCCTGAAACATAGATTCAGCCTCTTGCAAGGATAGTGAATCTCTGTTGTAATGGAAGCCTTTCTTTTTTCAGTTTACCCCAAATTTTGTCCTCCCACTTGACTGCACAGTGAATACTCCACAGATGGACTGCAGAAATGCAGATAACAAAATTGTAACGTTCCTTCTCCCAGTTAACTAAACCCAGCTGTCAGTTTAGATTCATACATTTTTATAAAAATTTTTATATATGTGTAAGAGAGTTTCTGCATGCTGGAGTTTAGGGATGGACTTTCAAAACTGGATATAAGATGAAAATCAACTCCCTACTTCCTAAATACAGCTCAAATTCCAGGGGTGCCAAATATCCACTGGCATAGCTTCTCTGGAAGCAACTAAAATCCTCAAGCTCCTCTAGAAACTCCCAACAAATAAGGCAAGCCTCGCCTGTCTGACAGGAGCACGTTGCAGATGAGGTAGGGAGCTCGACAAGACCCACGCTGTCTCCACAGTATGCCAGCATGGGCATTTTTGCACTGTGGTCCTAAAACTGGAGCTTGAGGATGCAGCAGGGGCGGCCCCTCAGCCATGAGCAGCTGGACCCAGCAATGCAGGGAATGTTGCCAGTTTTCTGAAGTATGGCTCGGACCCAGTGTCTGAGAACCACAGCCCCGGGCTATATCAAAAGCAATAGTTAGAGCGGAGTAATATTTCAGAAGTCTCAGATGCATGGTTCTTTGACCACACTTTTATTTTCAAAAGGCAGTGGGGAGTGCAAGCGGTATGGACCCAGAAAGGATAAAGTACAAGGATCCCAAACTATGAGGAAGACAATTGCTCTACAGGCATTGCTCCAGTAAAGAAATCTATAATACATTACCATGTGGCAATTACTCCTGGACAACTACATCTGAAAATACTCAGCACCATCACGGCTTTCTATGGAAGAACCCCAAACCCATCTACTTACACAGCACAGACTGGAAAAGTTTGGTATTTCACTCCTGTTGCTTTGTATTCAAAGTTATTTGCTCACTAATGGGGCAGACATATTAATGATGTGGCGCTCTAAAGTTGTTGTACCAAAAGGGTTGATCTCTGGGGTGAATCTGTGCAGCTCCATTAAAGGCCATGAAATCACACCAGCTGAAGATGTGCCCTACACTAAAACCACTGACTGTAAACACAGACTGAAAACGGAGTAACTTTGTGCTAAGAAGCCAATTAGCCCAGTCCAGCCCTGCTTCAGGTGGTAACAATCACAATTTTGCTCCTGATCTCCAGAAGCTGGGTGGGTTTTATCCACAGCACATGTAACTTCACATCGTAAGTCTCCCACTGAAAGGGGTGAGATCATTTGGGTGTAAAGAACTAAACGAGGGCAACTGCTACAACCGGGACGATGATGAAGTACTGTGTTCAGCAAAATTTATGTCTTACAGGGAATGGCAAAGTTGTTTAAGCAATCCATTATCATTTAGGTCTCAAAATATTCATTTGAACTGCAGAAGACAGATATTTGTATTTTATATACAAACTGGACTTGCTTCCTCTTCCTATCTACATTATTTAACACATCATTTTATATATATTCTCATGTCAGTGAATGAGGAGAGCAAATATGACAACTGATCAAATATGCACTGGAATTTTATTAATTTTATCTTCGCTTCCCAGGCTTATCAAAAAGATACATGTATCTCAAATACTTGATATTTTGTAACCTTTACATAATACCGATACTCTCACGAATCCCTCTGACTTCTATATACACATAACCAATGAAAAACTACAGCAAAGGAAATGAAGGTAAACTATTTGTGAGAGCTAACATATAAAACTTAGCCTGCACCTGAGACACAAACTAACCTCTTTTTAAAACAAAAGTCAAAAATACTGTCAAAAATTTCTTATGCCATTCTCTCCCAAACACAAACCTCAAATCACAGAAGAGGCAGAGCTCATTTTGTACATAGCTTTTACCCATTAACAATTCTACTCCAAACTAAGTAGCACTGGGACCATGCTTGTTCCCAGTTCTGCAGCATGCATTCCAGCAGCATACAGTCAAGTACGTTTTTAAATGTGCCGTGTCTCTATTTATAGGGCTTCAAGAGCAGGGAGTAATGTCACACATTTTCAGCATTTGAAGAACAAAGCCTAAACTTCCTACTGCGAGGATATTTCTCATAAAAGATGCCCTGATCCTTGTCTTATAAAAAGGTTTTATTTTTCAATAGAAAACTATATTTAAAAACAGAATTATTTGCTAAAAGCAATATAAAACTCCAGTTTTAACTTCATAAAAGTTTAACAAAACATAAATATTGTTTACCACTTACATTCCTATATACAGACCTTGCATTAGATAGCTAAATGAGTAGAGAGATAATAACTCAGAAATGAATGGCACGCAACCACATGAGATTCAAATTTCATGTCACACTGCACAATCACAGGAGCACAAGGAGCAGCTTAAAATCCTCAGTCTTTTTGAATTCTGCGATGTTCTCTTTACCGCTACGTTCCTCTTTTCTCTGCAATAATGCACCAGTTCCCATGGTCATAGCAGGAAGAAACTATCTGAAGCTCAGGCACGTTCTCTTCTATCAGGGAGCACAGTTCCCCTTCCCGAAAAACATGATAATAACGCATGAAGGCTTTTGTATCCAACATGGCATCAGTTTGGTCCCCAACAGACACTGCTGAATCCAATGCAGAGTCAGTGGAGTCATTTGTTGAAGTTCTTTTGAAAAACTTGCTGGCATTGGACTTACCAGCACCATCTTTGTTACAACTGCAGCTGTAGTCCCTGTCTTCCACTGGACCATTTGTAAACGAAGCTTCTTCCCTCTTGCTCTGAGCTACACTTTGGTGTCCCCCATTTAAACTTAAATCCTTCAGCGCATCTGTGGCTGGTGACCACGCTGGTTTTTTGAGAGGGAGGCTTTCCACAAACACATCATCATCATCTAAACTTTGTTCTTTTAAGAGTGCCCCATGGTGACCTAAGTCCAAACTGCAGTGTCGCGAATGCTGAATGGGTACAGTGGTGTTTGCCCATTCTCCTTCATTCTTCAGAGGCTTCATTTTGTCGGTTTGCTTTCTAAGGGCTGATTCATCAAGGGATCTGGAGAAAAACCATGAGCGGAAAGATCTTCCTAGAGCACTGTAAAATCTGTTTTCTTCCTCAGAAATTTTCATGCAGCAAGCTCTGGCTAAGCAATGGTCCGTATTTTGGGAATGTTTTGAATCAGTTTCTGGCTGCAGACTGGTTTGGTAGCTGCAATCAGAGATGACTAGCTGTGCAGGGTGTATGTCTTGGCTTTTTACAGCATGCACAAACTCACCCTTATCTCCAGATTGATTTGGTTCTGAAAAATGCCGTGAGCACAAGGCCTTGTTCCAAGGAACAAATACGTCTTGTTTCTCAAAGCGACGATTTTTTTGTTCCATAGCCCAAACATAAATCATCATCTGGCCTCCGGGTACCAATACCCTTGCCATTTCCTTTATTGCTTTGATTCTTCTTTGTTTGGTTGAAAAATGATGGATCACTGAAAAAAAGCAAAGACATTATGTATTGAATATTAGTAAGGACACAGCATTTTTGTCTTCAACCTGTTTTACGGGTTTAGTCATTTTAGTTGCCATATCCCAAATATCACTCATGGCAAGTCAGCAACAGTGCTGAATTTATTGGTACCACAGTGCAAGTTTAGCTCAGAATGATGTCTTTTACATTTATGTTCAATGGATAAAAATAGGAAACACCCAAAGAAGGAAATTCATCTCACCTCAAAACAGGGATTCAAGAAAAGCCAGGCATGTAAGCTGGAGGCTTCTGTTTCTCTACATCACCCATAACAGATTGTAGCATGACTAGCTTCCACTTAAATGCCTGGCCTTTAGGTGGGGTAGGTAATACTAAGTTTTGCTTTAGTATTTGGGACCGTTTTCAGACTTATCTACTGAAAACAGAAAATCTTTTCACCATGTAACAAATCCAGCTGTATCTGTAAAAAGATACTCTGTATCTTTGCACTTTTAAAAGAGCTTCTGAGAAAATTTAGACCGAAATATTTTTCATTGCTTTGATTTTGTAGAAAGGTATTGCTTCTATAGATTGCTTTGGAGAAAAAAAAATGAGAAGTATCTCAGTCTACATTGCATGGTTGAGAATGATGATTTTTTGTTACATTGTGTTATGCTGTTAAAAAATAAAAAGTCAAATTCAAAATAAAACTATTGATCACTATATCTGAATTTTCTTTCCAGGGTAATTTCCACGTTTTCAAATTTCACTGCAATGTGAAATGAAGCTACGTTTCAAGATTTCCACACTGTTTCTATCTTCCTATGCACCTGAAGGAACCAATTTTAGCAGCCAGAGAACAGCCGAGTCACCTATTTTCTTTCTAAACTCTCAAAAACATTAACTTGTACTGAGATTGGTCATGTTTGCCATGTTGTCATATATCATCAGTACTAGATTTCATTCAAACCAATGACTTAAAGACGACTGATTCTGTGATTTGTTTCAAGTGGACTTGGAGCCAGCCACTTATATGCAAAAACATTCAATCTACCCATATAACAACTTACGATAATAGTGTATGTTCTTAGCTGAAGATATCTCCATACCTTCAGAAAAATTAGATTATATGTGCCAGTTCTACTTGCAGAAATAGCGTTATTTCAACACTGCTGTTATGAAAAATGTGTCCAACTAGCCCCGTCTTTATTCAAAACAATGATTAAATTATCAAGGGGGAAAAATGTAGCTTTGTTACTACAAGCCAAGAAAAACATTCTTGGCAGTTGATATTAGCTAGGCCCTCACAAGCAGCTGAGAACACACGGTAGAAAACCCTGAGAAGAGTTCCCTGGTCTGTTTGGTCAGTGTTTATTTCCAAGTACTCCTAACTCTTATCAATATTTTCTCAAACTTTGCAAAAAAATATAAAACACTATTTCAATTTCTTTAACAAGATGGAGAGAAAGGAACTGATAGTTTCTCTCATACTGGAGTTAGGCCATATGTCACCACAGAAGCTCCTGCAAAATAATATCAAAACTGACAGAGACAGTAGGAGCACGTGAGCTTAGCTCACCAGAAAGAAGTGCCAATCAACCAACGGCATCTGTGCAAGCTCTGCCTAAGCAATTCGTTTAATGAGTTAAACATTCTTCATGGTTAAAATTATATAATCACTCCAGTGGTTCTGCAGAACTGTAAATCCTATAAACAGGATTATACTAGCAAAGCCAAGAAGAATATTTGACTATGCTCATAAATACTTGCTATTCTCTGGAATGGGATGAAAACCACTTTATTTAGAATTAGATGGACACAGGCATAACATGTCTCTATTCAAGAGGCCTTAAAATCCATTATTCTTAAATGTACAGAAATACCGCATGAACTTTTAATCTTGTCAGGCCTATAATTGGTTTAAACATTAGGTACACTGTCCTTCAAAGGCAGCTGATTTGATAGCACTGAAATTATGCTACAAGACCTGAAATGTGGATAGGGCTCACTGGTTAACTAGCCAACATGAAAGCAAGCTATTATACGTAGTGCTTGCATATTATTCACCCCTTCTTTTAGAACCATAAAATCATAGAATGTTTTGGGTTGGAAGGGACCCCTAGAGGTCACCTAGTCCAACCCTGCATGTGTGAAAAGTACGTTTTAAAATACATTTCTATCATAGTTCAAGTAGTTTGTTGATTGCTATGAATAAAAATGGTCATGCTTTATATTTTTGCTGATACAGTGAAACAGCCTGAAAGAAGTTCAAGCAAGAGTAGAGCTAAAAATGTAGACTGTAACTGGGTACTCTAAGTATTCCTCATCTACCCTTTTCCAGTTTGTACTTCTCAAATTATGAGTAATATTTTCAAAAAGAGAGGTCAGAGGAGTTAAGATGCTGAGATGCTTCACTCATTTTAGACAACAGGCACTTGTATGGCTCTTAAATTCTTATTTCATGACTACTGTAAGAGAAATTTGTATTCATAACACATAATAGTGAACATGATTCAAGTTCTGCTATAGAGAAAGCAAGTTCTCATTTCAATGCATTTGCTGGTCAAAACAGATCCTAAGGAGGAACCAAGAGTTTATCTTGACCACCTAATCTGTTTAAACTGCGAGCATCCATGTTTATATTGGGTCTTACTTGTTTAAAATGCATGCTGGAAGGAAATCTTTTCTCCAGAGGGTGAACAAGACCACATATAAACAAACAAATGATCCACATACTTCCCTGGTCAACAGCGCCTCTGTGCAATGGAAACAATATTTTTTTCATGTTTACTACATTCATTTCAGTAATATCTGCTGTGATTCTAAGGGAATTTCTTCAAAACAAATTTAACTGAAATGAAGACACATGGAAAGAAAAGGATCCCCAAAAATTTGCATTTGCTGTGGGCCAGAATGCATGTATGTTGTCTTACCTCCAATGGAAATGACTGCATTGAAACACTGGTCCCTAAAGGGAAGGTTAAGGTTGTCACATACCAGAACTTCATCATCTTTCTTCCTTGCAATCTCTACCAATGGTCCACAGTAATCACAGCCGAGATTATACACCTGACTGTTGACACTGAGATACTTTCCAGTTCCACAACCTAAAGAAAAGAATACTAGATCAGAAGTTGTATGTTCCAAACACTTGCTATCCCTCCCAAAGCAGTGAACATAATGAGGAGGCTTTCCTAATTCTAAGGTTTCCTGGAAAACAAAATGAGAGCTTGCTCCTACAAGCCTAATTGCTGCAGGGTTCATTTGGACTGTTTGAAATTACACGTTCACCCTGTTAGGAGTGTAACATCACCACAAAAATACTCATTACACGGCCCTGTGTAATACCAGGTTATGTGCATTTCTTTGGGAATGAAGGGTAAGTGGAGGTGGGAGGAGGAAGGAGGGGTCCTCTGCAGCCACTACTGCGTATCTTAGAGCAAAAAAACAACCTCGCTGCTTCATACTGAGCCTTTATAGAGCCTGGTATCCCGTTTCCAACAATGAGCATAAATGGGTGCCCAGGAAAGAGTAAGAACAGGGTAAGCATTACATTCCTGTTCCTCAATACCCTTCCAGCTTCCAACTGCTTTCTGTTCAGGGGTTCTCCTGAAGCCAGCGTATTTTGTCTCTTCAATGACCTGCAATAGATCTCTCTTCCAAGTACTTTCCCAGTCTTTGCTAAACCCCATGCAGTCCCTCTCCAGCACATCCCATTTCTCTCCAAGAAGTCCTAAACCACAGCTGTCATGGACATAAGTCAGAGAAGACAATTTTAACTTCAGATACAGACTTGGAAATAACCGTGAATCATAAAAATTCCTGCCATGTCGCAGGCATGTCCTCATTCTGTCTTTGTGCCAATGCATTGTAACACATGTAAACGTAATGAACTGTTCCAGAATGTCTTCCACCTAAAAGTATGCCTTCTCAAGGACTGTGCTGTACTAAATTGAAATCTTTCAGGGTGTTCTTCAATACTGTATGCATAACAGGCACTTTTGAAAATTAGATTAGGAAACATTCACACCAGTTATGGGTCAGTAGTGAAGAATAATTTCTGAAAGTTGACAGCCAAGCAACGGGGTAGCAGCTTGGCAAAGAGAACCATCTCGGTATTGGTAATTCAACTGAAAGGCCTGGAGTTATCTTTAGAAACATCACTGCTTCTTGCAGCGCTGCTGCTCTCGTCGATGTTAATGTGCACCATTATCTAGAGAGACAGCACAGGAACTGCTGGAGAGCAACACAACACTTCAGTGGGGAAAAAAGAGCAGATTTCTAAAGCAAAAAGCGAGCATGATTCTTTGAAGTAACACTTGAGAGAAATGGAAAAGATTAATACTGTTAATGCAGTTCAATATATGCAATAAAATGAAACATGAAGCTCTGACTGTTAGTTAGAAAGCATAAGTTTTGAAATGAGTGTAATGTCTTATTGGTTACTGTGTTTGCAGAAGGAACACATTTAGTCAAACATACATTAATTTAGAAGCTTCAGTTGCTTAATACATGGCTTTTGGTGGGGGGCTTTTTAATCACAGTTTTTGGAAGCATAGGGTCCTCTCTGGAATGAAGCTAAATAGTGACAACACTTTCAGTACTCTAAAAATCTACACTTGCAGGAGATTCACTTTAAAATGAGTCATTAGGAGGTGGATTCCTTCATGAAGCTGTTAGCAATGGCGATGCTGTTGTCTTTTATTTTGATGAAAGAACAATAATAAGGCAATCAAGACAAAATTGTATCTTACCATGCTTCATGTAAAGCTAGCAAACAAAAATATTTTAATAAAAGGTGGTATTAAACAGAAAAGGAAATTTTCAGTTGAATATCTAATTTTGAAAATTTTGGTGCCATTAGGCAGCCCTCCTCCCAAAATACATTCCAAAAATAAACACAATAGACAGATTCCTGTAGATCTTAATAAACCTCATAAAAGGAGGTTTTTTATTGGAATATTTTTATTGGAACTGTAAGCATCTACCTCCTCTCCAGATGTATCACATGCATTTAAATTATTTCAGCTGAAACTGTAACACGGGGTGACCTTAAGCTTTCAGCAACCACTGCGATACCTGCTGATAAAGCCTCAAAGAACTTCAGCTAAGCTTCAAATGAATTCTATTGAGGCAACAAAAAATTTTAGCTGAGAAATGTCATGTTAAGCTGTCTGTTAAATAAGCATATGCCATAAGATGTTTCCTGAAATTATTAGTGAAAATGGTGCAGCCATATAAAAGAAGATACATATTCAAACTAACAGCAATCAAGTATTTCTGGGGTACTGCTCAAGAGCAGCAGGAGAATCATATACTGTCTTTTGATTATGGCCTACAACGTCTTCAAAGAATGGTTTCCTCCGATAGGATAAGGCAGATGCATAATTTATTGTGTACATTTATTACACTTTGCTGCGTAAGAGCATTTTATTAATCTAAACAGTGAGGAAAATGCAGTTGTGCAAAGGAGCATCTTGTTTGCAGTGATGTGATGTATAGCACTGAAGTCACAACACAAACACAAAGCAAACACACCAGGATCTGGAAACCCCTAAAAAGTCTGGAGGTGCCACAGAAAATCAAGATACAAACTGAACGTGCAGGGAAGACAAGGCCAAGCAGGAAAATGAGTTTTTGGTGTCTATATGAATGATCATAGGGAGATTTTCAGATCATAACTTTTTTTTTTTTTTTAACAGTGATCGCATCAGATTTCTCTTATGTTAAAGCCTTGATAGGAAGACTTTTAGAACAAACAAAAAGCACTAAATTGCAGACAAGCAGTACTCAAGCCAAGAGATCTAAAGAAGATGAAATGTGAAATATTTGAGCCATTAACACCATTTTTTGAAAAGGGCTCCAGGGGAATGACAGACCACTAAGTCTGTGGGGAAATGGGCAGATTAAGGCTTCGCTCAATCAAAATAAGGCAAAAATCATATTTAGTTGTTAACTGATAAGATTGTCAAGAAAATAAACCAAGTGGTAGACAGCATCTAATATGATTTTTAAAACAATTTAAAAACAATCTTTAAAACAAATTTAAATTAGTTTCAAAAACAATTCCTCTGAAGGGTGCATATGATTAACATATAAACTAATACAGTCTACAATCTTTCACACCACTCCAAGGAATGGCTTACCTATGTCAGCAACGAGACTGCCGGGCTTTTGCTCCAGCAGAAAGTTTCGAACACGAGGCCATGCTTTGCTCTGTAGATCATTAAAGTAGGCAGCTGTATTTTCATACACGCTATGCACGTGCTGCTTTTCTAGCTGGGTAGCCTCATGTTCCATCCTGAAAACATAATGAATAAAGATACAATAAAACTCAAACTGTTGTAGTGTAGACTTCACATTTTGTAGACATGCATAATTCAGGATCTTATTAAGTTTACATTCATAAAATCATTACCCCCTCTAACAGCCGTCATATTTATAAAATGGCCTTTACTCAAAGGATCTGATTTTATTTCACAGAGGTCAAGAAAAATTTGAATGTATCACCTTGCCTGAGGAGAACTATATAACTGCATGTGGCTACCCAAAAATATGCACATTCTGAAATAAGTTCACCAACGCAGTAAGAGCTTCTCTGGTGCAGAGCAGAAGAATTGACTTTCCAGTTGTTGCTAAGGTGGACAGGTAGGCAAACTATTAGCATGTTATTTGAAATATAGCCTGGACCCTGAAACCAAAGCTCCTAAATCATACATAAATTATTTGTGGTTTATCTATCCTCTAGAAGTGATGAGTTGGTTGAAATTTTTCAGCAACAAAACCGTGATTTCCCTGCTCCCGCTCTGCTATCTTCATTTCTTACCAAAGTATTTCAGTTTAATGATGCATTTGAAAACTGCTGTCTTCTTAGACTTTTAATATTACTCCTAAGCTCATGTAAAACACCAAGTGGATGCAGACACTGAATCCATTTGTACAGAATCTTACATCTTCCTTAAGATTTCCTCTCAACCAAGCACCAACCAGGTCAGACTTTAATATCTGATGGAGGCCAATTACAATTCAAAGTGTTAAGGCATTCTGCAAAATAACTCAAACTGCCTGTTTATTCAGGAAATATTCCTTCCCATTATTAAATCAGAACTTATTTAATTGTCCAAGTACTCAGCAGAGATTAAAGACTGTTTCCAAACTTCTTCCAAGAAACTAAGCAATATATTATCAAGATGCAATTATAGAAGTGACGCCTTCGGCTGCATTTGAAAATGTCAGAAGCAAAGACTTTAAACACACAAGTTCTTTTGCGTTCTTTGATTTCCAAATAATGTAAGTTTTGAAATTGTAATAAAAAAGGTTTCTGTCACTTTTACTGTTGAAATAAGTTATTATGAGAAAAGATTTAAAATAAAATATTGCGTATAATAACAAATTATGTGAGCTCTTCAAAGCACCTGTCCTAGAAGCACAATCTTTTCATTTTAGCAAATGGGAGTTAATCCCAGTGACTGAAAAAAAAAAACGTACTTCAGTTTAAGTGTGTGTGAGTGCTTACAAGAATAGAATGCAAGACTTGATCCATTTCACTGGGTTTAGGTACTCTGCTATGTAAGAAGTCAGGCCAAATTGTCACAATTGTCACAGTCTATTCTGACTGCAGTATCTATGAATATATCTCTTCAAAACATTGAAGTTCAATGTTTTCACAATCCTTACTGTCTTTTTTTTTCTGGTATTATCCACAATTTTCTTTTATTATGTATTAATTCACCTTTTAGTAGCTGAAAAAAAAAAGCTATAAAATTCAGTAACAGTATTGTAAATTCATAGTAGGCACAATTTCAGTGTCATCTTGAAGACTGGAAAACTCTAACAGACTGAGGAACAGAAGTAGACAGTATTGAAACACAGACTTGAAATGATATTACATGTGCCAGAAGTTACTCAATCAGAACTTTTCTCAGAATGCCATTTCAAGTTATGTTGTCAAATAGGATGGGTTAGTTGGGGTAATTTCAAACAATTATTCCTTAGAGTCAAAAGCCCATTCTTTTTTTCTTATTTGACCCTTAAATAAAACAAATTGGGTGTTCCATGTCTGCAACTATCTTTCTTCTCTGCTTCAAAACATACTCTATTTTGTTCTTCAAATGCCTAAAAATCCTCTATTTATAAGTAGAAATTCCAAAGACTAGCAATCATTTATTTTCTTTTGCCATCTGATATGCTCCTTGCTCTAGTTTATATTTCATGTTTGGTTACTATGTGGTTCAGTGTTTCTAAGTGTTTTTATCTTTCCACTTGAAGCTTTTTGTTCAATCTTTGCAGTTCTTAAAAAAAAGGAGAATGTTTTCAATCATTTGTACTGAATTCCAAATGCTACAGAAATTCCAGTTTATGCCAGCTATAGAAGTAGCTGTCTGAACTGAAGTTTAATTTCAATATTTTAAATAAACACAAAAGCCAACTTGGACTTGACTTAGAAGATGGTAAGAATTTTCCCACTGAAACAATGTTACATTACACTTTTCCTAAAATGTCTTTATTGAATTCCAATGTAGGCTGAAAATTGGCTTAGTTTCATACTGAATCCCAATATCATTAAGTTTTTCCTTCAACTTTCTCATTCACAGGGACTGACAGTGAGTCTTCTGCTATACGGGACGTGCTAAAGACTCATGCATTACAACACCACATTAGAGGTTATTGGTTTTAGATATGCTTAATAAACATTGTCAAGATAATAATTTGGTTATAATCTTAGAATAACAGCCCACTAAAACACAAATTATTTCATTTACCGTTTCATTACAATTTCCATCCCTGCTGATTGTTTATATTTTGTAGATAATTAAGTCACACGATGAAATTAGACTTGCCAATTTGACTTTCCAGTCAAGATCCATCACACTGTCAAGTTTTATTCTGCAGCATGGCAGGGAAATGTCCTGGCAATAAACCTCTTCATTTCAATGTTTACAAAAGGCAAGAAACCTGTGCAGTCCGACCTGGCCTGCAGCTGTACCAGTCTCACACAAGTCTAACATCACTGAAAACATCAGGAACTTAGAACTATGTAACTTTACAAGCCAAACTCAATACCTCTATTTCTCTTTATAAACAAACCCAACCATTACAACTTTTTTTTGCCTTGAAAGTATCAGACAGCATCTCTGTTGCACATAAATCGTAAAAAATGTTCAGTTCATCCAACTTCTGGATTGTAACTTCCAGGATAATTGCAAAGTCTCTTTTGCAAAGGAGGTAATGAAAATCCAAGATGTCCAGAAAGCCCACTGCTTCGGCATCTGCTCCAGTTCTCATTTAAATCACCTGGAAGCTGCCCGAGAAGCCAGCAAAGAGGAGGAGAAGAGCAGAAGGTGATAATTACAGACACACTTTCCCCATGCTCATTTCTTGTGCGGTAGCTTATGCTCCTGTCAAAGGGTTCACACAGAGACTTGGTGCAGAATAGGGAGAGCGCGGTAAATTGGCACCCAGCTGTTCGGCCACTCTGCAGCAAGCCTTGATGAGTCCCTAAAACATGGATGCAGCTTAAGAAATGTGAGACTCCTGCAAACAAGCAGTTTGGGTAACAAAGGGTGGGATTCTCCTCCCTTTCAATGTTTCCTGGTCATCGAGGTTCATCGTTAGAGCACAGTGGGCCCTTGTTGCAGCTGATCTATGAAGTGAGAAAACTGGACAAAAGTTGTAGTGTGATTTCTATTGAACCTGCAGGGAAATGGATCACCAGTCCATCACATGTAACTGTGGTATATGAACAAAACTGTTTGAAAGTAAATAGGTTATAGTCCATTGACTCTTCCCTACTTGCTGCTTTCCTTCTATGTTTCAAAAAAATAAAAAATGAACTAAAATATTACAGCTTTCCAGGAAGTAAAAGGAATTGTGCAAACATACCATATATTTTGATACCTACACATCAGAACAACTGTATGAAGCCTTTGCCCAAGATCACTCCTTGAGCCCCATCTTAGGCATGAGTTGAGTAGGAGACAGTTCAGATTTTGCTTTTCTAAATGGTGTCATTGCTTCCCAGGGCACGATGTGGTGAGGTGATGCAGAACAAGTTCTGTAACATTGCTCTCTAGTAGCTGTCCCAGCTCACCTTTCCCTTTTCATGGGGACCCAGAAGTAGAGTTCCCAGAAGTGCTTTTGAGGTTGCTCTGGCTGTTCAGTAGCTTAGGGACATGGTTTAGTGGTGGGATGGCAGTGTTAGGTTAACGGTTGGACTTGATGATCTTAAAGGTCTTTTCCGACCTAAACAATTCTATGATTCTATGATCTCACTAAAAGTTCCCTGATTCCAAAGGTAATCTAATGTCTTCCTTTTCCATTAACATTTGGATACCTTTTAGATAATTAACTTTTCAAGGATACTGCTTTAAGGAAAGTCATGTCACTTGGACATTTTCTATCACTGCCAAAGTAATAAATACATTTAAACATGTGACCTTGAAATGACAACAACCAAAAATAAATAATCCGGATTCCCAACATTTAAAAAAGTCAGGATTATTTTTGTTTGGGTTGTTTTTTTCCCCAGACTTTTTGTTTGGTTGGTTTTGAAAGTGTCTGATTTGCAATTTTGGCTAACTGTATTAAATACTTTATCTTCAAATGGACAAAACAGTTGCTGGCTCCCAGATGCAAGGGGTGCCCTAACATTGAAGCGCAGGAGGTAGTGCTCAGTCCAAAAACTCTTCCTCTACCACAGCCTATCCAAATGTTTCCACACCTTCCCGCAATTCTTCTCAATCCCTTGCAGCCCTCCTTATCTGCCTCAAGTTATTCCTCTCATCCACCTAGGATTTTCACATCTTCCTCTGTCTACCTTAGCATGTGCTATGTCACCATCACTATTTGACTTTGATGTATAATACTGTGAAGTCTTGACCTGGCTCGTGTTCAGTTCCTCCTTGCCTCTATTTCCAGGCCAGTCACAATACCCGGAACACGCTCCGCACATTTTATCAATGGCCTCTTAGAAGCACCCTGTGATTTTCATGGTAGTCGTCAAATCCTGCATTGCTCCTATTTGTCTTCAAATCAATTGCTCTTGATTAATTTGAACTGCAGGCTTTCCTTTTGTCATCTCTCTTGCAACTGCCTATTTCCTCTAACCCTTTGATGAGCAGCGGGAACTTTTACACAACTCACTTTGAGAGCCAGATATGCAAGATTTCAGTCTATTAATGAGGGCGCCTCTTAGTTACACTCTTCATGCACTGATGGGAATCATCAATCCCATTTTGGATTAGGAGAACTCCTACTTCAAAGATCTAGGAAATTCAGCACAGTTGTCTCTATGTTACTAC